AAATTAGTTGAAAAATGCGGGGTTAGTATCCAGAATGTACTTTTTAGTGATCAGAGCCACAGAGCTGCTGTGCGTACGTGCTTATCCGTGTGTGTACGAGAGCGGCTGGTACCTGTAGTCCCACGTGCGATTGGTCTGAGAGTGGCCGATAGCTGGAGGTAATCAAATGTGTGTGTGGTTCATCTGAAAAAAAAACCAGGAGGGAGAAGCTTAAAAGAAAAAAAAAAGAGAGGGTGTTCAAGGGTCTGCCCTGGTGTGTACCTACGCGCCGTGATGCCAAAGCTGCTCTCCTGCCGGGGAACCTGCCGGCAAAGCCCTGTCACCCGGATGGGCTGAAACAGAGCCTGGGCCGAGTGGGCGACGAGGTGCAGCTTTGGAGGGGAGCGCAGGCTCCAGTGAGCTGCCCAGGCGTCGGGACACTGTTGGTGTGGGTGGTGGGAAGGGGGCAGAGCTGACTGGGGTCACCACGGCACCGACCCGCGGACTTGCTGGAGAGGGGGTGACCAGGTGATTTTCTCGTGAAGGTGCCGCGGATCAGCAGCACGTGCAGGGCAGGATCCATCTCTCCCAGCCTTACCCGAAGTCTCCGTCCAAGCGAGGTGCCCAGGAACCCTCTGTAGTGACCAGGGAAAAGAAGCCACTTTTAACAGGATTTATCTCACGTCTTGACCTCAGCTGTGAGGTGCACATGGGCCCGTGACCGTACGAGCCTCTGGCGACTGCTGCGGTGGACGGCTGCCCGGCTGCCAGCGGTGTCTGAAGTGCATGTGTGTCTTGCAGGCTGTACCCTAGGTGTTTGTTCTGTGTGTGAGAACGCTTGTGAAAATGCTTCGAAGTAGAAGTCGTTCAAGGTTCAATCAAGCCACAAACAGCTGGAGATTGTATTAAAGGGGCTCTGTGGTGCGAAATAGCATCTTCACCCAGTGATAGGTCACAAACTGGGGAAGTGTTGATTAAACGTGAAATACTCGCCCGCAAAGGAGCTCCCTGTTGCTCGTGAAAGGAGTCAGTGACTCGGGAGGTCCCTCTGAAGCTGCACCTCGCTGTGCGACGCGCGCTGTGCGGGTGGGCTGCCGAGGGTCTCTGTACAGAGACCTGTGAGAAGAGGGATCCGCAGGGTTTGTACAGCCGTAGGGTTTGTTGGGTTGTGCGTAGGGTTCATGTGCTGACGAGCATCAAGTGTGATGTCCCACGTGTGTCGTTTCTGTTCGGCACCCAGAGCACTGGGTCCTTGCCCGGGATTCCCAACCATTCCGCCTACATGCGCCGTGCAGCAAGGGGCTCAGAAACACTGGATTTAGTCTGTACCGGGGAAGATGAAAAGCAGGCCTGGAGCTGCCCTGTTCTGAGCAGGAACGGCTGCAGATGCCACAAGCACAGCACCCAAGCACAACCCGACAATAAATACGGAGAAAAAATCACCCGTAGCTCTGCTTTGTGCTCGACCCAAGGATGGCACGCATCTGTCTGCACCAAGAGGGGATGATTCCTGTTGAGGAGGGGACAGCAGCTTCGTGTTCCCAGTTTGCCTGCCATAAGGCGCACCAAAAGCAGCGCCTCTTAGAAACCAGCTAATTTTTGTGGAATTCCAGATAAGCTAAAATAGAAAACAGCCAAACAGTAGAAATTGGGTTGCAATTGGCTTGTTTTAGAAGTCCTTCTTGAGCTGTCATTTCACACCCACAATGACAGGCTCATGCGCCGTACAGTCAGTTGACTTCATGATGAAAATCACTACTAAAAGCAAGGAACGAGGTGAAAAATAAGCAGGAATTGGTTGGTTTGGTTTTTTGGTGAAGGAATGCTCTGAATTATTTGCATATTACACAGCTGGTTTAGGTTCCCAGGGACTTGTGACAAAAGATCAAAGCATTTCATGTTTGCATCTAAGAATTTCTTGAGACAGCGGTAGTTAACCCTCGACTGGCTACAAAGAGAGCAGAACAGGAGAAATATTTCGACACAAATGTGAAGAAAAGAAATGCATTGCAGTGGGGAGGCTGATAGAAAAGAAAATCCCTGTCAGACTTCCAAGATTGCTGCCACGCCATCTGCTCCAGCATCAGAAGTTAAAACCACTTGGAAGTCTGCAGAGCGTCACGGCACCCGCTGAGCCTCTCCCCGGAGCAAACCCGAGACGGTGCAGAGGGCGGTTTTGCACGGACAGGAGCAGCGTGTCCCCGTGTCAGATGGGCTGCGGGCGCTGCCTGGAGGCGGCAGCTGCTCCGTACGGGCTGAGTGTCGACTCGGTGTTCAAAAAGACGTCGGGGACACCGGGCTCCTCCTGCTCTGCCCGTGCTGGGCTGCACGAAGGTCTGGCAGGGCCCACTGCGGGGCTGGCAGCCCTCCCCAGTCCCGTCCTGGGTCCGTCCTCCCCTGTACGGACCCCGGGTGAGCTCCCGACGCTTTCCCGTCTTCTGAACAGGTTCTCGGGTTCACCCGAGCTGCGGTGCAGGCGTTGTGCCGTGGCAGCCAGCACCGTGCTGTTGCGTCCCTGCGCTCGGAAGGGCGGTGGGCCTTCCTCCCCCTCCCCCTGTCGGTTCGGTTGTTGCCCAGAGCTGGTGCCAGCCCCGCGCACCTGAGGGTGACGGTGACCCGCTTTCTGCCTCTGGACATGAGCGGCGCCGTGGCGCTTGGCACCTTTCTGCTCTGGCTCGGGGGCGGCTTTGGGAGCTGCTCTGCCATCCCCGCGCGGGGAAGGCGAGGTTGGGAACGGTGTGGGGGTGCGCTGGAGAGCGCCACCTCATTAGCTAGCCCCAATTAACGCACGGAGCTGGATTCTCACAGGGATTTAGGCTGTTATGGTAACAGGCCCGAAAGCGTTATGGAGAGTTTTTGTGTTTTTCCCTGGAGATTAAGGCTGCGTCGAGCGCGCTGTGAGTTGCAGCCAGGGGTTGCCGTGAGGCTTGTGGCGTTGCTGAGCTGCGCTGCGGGCGGGCGCCCGGAGCGTGATTCCCATTTCAGATCAGTTACCCTGGGCTCTTTGCTGGTCCTTGCTGATTGCTGGAGGCTCCGTTTTGACTCTTTATTCCTGCATGTGCCAACCTCTGTGGTGTGATCCCGGTGATCCCTTGTTGCTGTGTGTCGGAAGCGTGTGTGCCCCGACACGGTGGAGACACAGCATATGCTCCGTGAAGGGAACCGAGAGCCGAAATCTTGATGGCAGTCAGCAAAGGGACACGTTTGTTGGTTTGTCCTTGACGTTTAACCTGCCAGTCATGCACGTGGGAGACGGACCAGGCGCAGAGGGAGGTCGCGGGCGGCACACGAAGGGTCGTGCCCTTTGCGGCAGGCAGATGCTCACAGCGGTCATTCCCACCTCCACCGTCCCTCTGGAGAACGTGGAACAGCTCGCAGGTTTTTGCGTTCATCTGGCAGCCCCTCGGAGGAGGGATGAGGTCTGAAGGAGGTGGGAGCGCTTGGCCAGCGTGAAGGAGCTGCCTTCCCCGAGGGCTCTCTGGGTGTCAGAGCCTGGATGAGGCTCGTCACAGGAGGCCCTCGGTGCCGGGCTGCTCTGTGGGTGCCACGCAGGTGGGGAGCGGCGCTGCTGTTTCTTGGGTGCCCCTGCGTGGTGCGGACGGGCTCCGAACACTGCAGGAGGTGGTCAGGCTCCTTCTCCTGCAGACTGCCCGTCCCCGGGGCGAGGGCTGCCCGTTGCCCCATGCAGCATTTAGCAACAGGCAGGTGTTAAGGCAGAAGTGAAAAAGTACCGTATTTATGACATTTCAGTCAGTAGGAGTGGAGCTGGGTAAAAGACAGCCGTGCTTTCAGCTACCAGCGTTTTAGATAAACTCAAATAGATTCTCCATTTCAAGTTAAAAACTGCCAGGATGGTTTTGTAGCCGGTCCCTCACCCTTTGGGAGAACACGTGTCCTCAGCATGGCTTTCACCTGGGGGGATTTCTGTACGGCCGTGGGCTCGTTACCTCCGCAGGGTCTGTGCAGGGTCCAGCCTGCTCTGTGGGGACCGAACGCAGTTCATAAACTCAACACTTCATCAAGCCACCAGGTTTCAAGCCTGTTCCCAAGGGGTTGCTGGTTGCCTTTGTTCAACTTCGGAGACTCCCTGAGCAGAACTACAGCCTGCACAGGCAGTAAATAAAACTCAGCAATGACCAGTCTCACGCTTAACTGCAGAGACGCTTCTCATGTGAAGGGAGAGGTTTCCTTTTGCCCCCGTGTGATCACATTTAAACATCAGCGAGGAGTTTCTTCCTGTCACGGAGGCTGTATTTTACAACGTTTGCTATTGCAGTAGGAATGGGCACTTGAATAAGAGAACATAACAGCACAGCAATGCTATTCAAAGAAAGCCTTGTAAAAAAAAAAAGGTCTTTACAGACGGCGTGGTTTGACCCCAGCTGGCAGCCGGGCGCCACGCAGCCACTCGCTCGCTCCCCGCACCTGGTGGGGTGGTGGAGAGAATCAGGGCGGGGAAAAACAACAGACATCATGGGTTGAGATAAAGACAGTTTAATAGGACAGAAATGGAAGAAAATAATGATGATGGTAATAATAATAATAATAAAATGACAGTAATAATAATAAAAGAATTAGAATATACCAAATGAGTGATGCACAATGCGATTGCTCACCACTCACCAACCGATGCCCCATCAGTTCCCGAGCAGCGATCCACACCCCCCGGCCAGCTCCCCCCAGTTTATGTACTGGGCATGACTTCGTGCGGTACAGAATACCCCTTTGGCCGGTTTGGGTCAGCTGTCCTGGCTGTGTCCCCTCCTACCTCCTTGTGCCCCCAAAGCATGAGAAGCTGAAAAGTCCTTGACTTACTGTAAGCACTGCTTAGCAACAACTGAACCGTCAGTGTGTAACCAACACTGTTCTCATCCTAAATCCAAAACGTGGTGGAAGAAAATTAACTTTGTCCCAGCCAAAACCAGGGCAACAGACCCGATGGGCATCAAACGAGGGGGATAGGTGGAGTTCGGAGAGAGAAGTCGGTAATTCCGCACATGGTGCTGGGAGTGCGAGAAATTCACCCGAGTTCAAAGAGCGCTGCCGAGCGCCTGGAAGAAGAGAGTCCACCAAGGGTTAAATGCAGAGGCAGTCCGACTCAGCCAGCCCTTGATCAGCAAGTGGCTGGAAGCTGGCAGGGTCTTTGGGAGGGGAGAAGCACCGCTGCCTGCTTGCTGGGTTCTTACACGCTTCCTCGGGCAGTCGCTGCTGGCCGCCGGGCAGCAGGCTGGGCTGGATGTGCCGTTGATCGGCTGGACTGGAGGAGAGACGGAGTGGAGGATGGAGGCAGAGTCCTCGGCATCGTCAGCAGAACGTAGGTCACGAGCAAGCTGCACGGAGAGGAGGAGAGGCAGATGAGCAAATGGCTGTAGGTGTTTATGCAGGACGACAGAAGAGCGCAGACAGAGTGAGCAGAGGAGCTGTGTCAGAACGGTGAGTTGCAGGTAGTGAAGAAAGGGCTTGCCAAGAATTTGCTTTCCTCCCACCTCTCCCATCAGCAATGTCTCCTGAGTGTGGATCTTCTTGCTGAGGAGCGACAGGGGCCGTTCGTTTTCACAGGAAATGGGTATTATTCCCGCTGTTCCGAGTAGCGGGGTTGTAGAGACTGTCCGCTTGGGAACCAGCGCTGTAATGAAGCCACTGTAACATTTTTCTGTTGTAGGATCAAAGAATGATTCAGGTTGGAAGGAGGAGGTCTCTAGTCCAACCTCCAGCTCAAAGCAGGGTCAGCTATGACATCACATCATGTTTTCAGGGTTTTACCCAGTCTGGTCTTGAAAACTGCCATGGATGGAGGCTGCACACCCTTTCTGGGCAGCCTGTTCTGCTGCTTGACGGTCCTCATCATAAAAATTCTCTTTTTATCCCGTCAGAACCTCCCATTTCAGTTTTGCCTGTTGCCTCTTGTCCCCCCACCATGGCCTCTTGTCCCCCCACCATGTACCACTGTGAGAAGCCTGGGTTTATGTTCTTGATAGCCTCCCGTAGATACCAGAAGGCTGCTCTTCAGTTCCCCCTCAAACGCCATCCCTTCTGCAGCCTGAAGGAGCCCAACTCGCTCAGCCTCCCCAGACACAGCGAGAGCTCCAGTCCTGACCATCTTGCTGGCTCTCCACTGGACTCCCTTCAGTTCATTGATGTATTCCTTGTATCAGGGGCCCCAAAACTGGATGCAGCATTGTAGGTGTGGTCTCACGGGTGGGAGTGAGAGGGATAACCTCTTTGCTCTGCCTGTTGCCTTTGCTCCTCTTCGGGCAGCCCAGGACGCTGTTGGCTGTTGCTGCTGAGGCACAGGGCCAGCCCATGTTCACCTCTCTGCCTGCCGAGCCCCCAGGTTCTTTTCCACAGTGTTGCTTCCCAGCCAGCCTGTCCCCAGCCTGCCCAGTTGCAAGGCACTCTTCCTTCTTGAGTGTGGGACTTTGTGTCTGCCCCTGTTGAAATTCATGGAGTTCCTGCTGGCCCATTCCTGTCTGGGTCCCTTTGAGATGTCCAGCTGGTCACTGCACCTGGTAGTGCTTTGGATATCGTTTTCCATAGTGCTCCTCATTTAAGAAGAAAATGGAGGACAGATGCTTATGGCAGAGAAAAATAGCAAGTGGGGAATAGAGAGAATGCAATGAATAATTGTAGAACCAGCTATGTAAAATGAAACAAAAACTACTACCCACACCCTGGATACGTTTCGGTTCTCTAACTGTCCCCTTCACCCTTCCTTCTCTTGAAATACGTTGCTTTCAACTCTTTACAAGAACTTTGCAGCAGGGACTGTGAGCTGCTGGGGCTTGTGGAATACCCCAGAAGGTATCACAGGGGTTACAACCCCTACAGCCGTGCGCAGTCGACTGCCGAGAATTCTCAGCGGGCAGTGACGGTTGGTAGTCAGTGGCCACTTGGGCTGTCTGCTCTTTGCAGGTCAGGAAATTCGAGGAAGATGAACCAGCTTTATTTCCTGAAATAGCTCTGTACTCAACGCAGCGGTCCCTCTCTACAGGGTGGTCAGCACATCCCTAGGACAAGCTCTGATGGCGTTAGGCCGTGTTCTGTCGCAGTCTGGGCATGGTAACAGCTCAGTGCTGCATAAATTTCCTTGTTTCAGCTCTTGGCCATTCCCAGGTGAGAAGTGGAAATAAGCATGAAGGTATGACTGTTCTTGGGATTTTCATGCTGTTCAGAACGTGACGGTGTCTATACTGAATCACACCGTGGCTCCATCTTGTGCGGGATCCTGTCTTAAGCATTGCTCTTAGGCAGGTGCCCAGGGAAGAGTGAAAACAGGGCAAGGATAGGACACCTCTCCTGAATACTCACCAGGCAGCTCCTGTCTTCAGTTCAGAGGCTTCTGTGTGTGTAATAGCCCACAAAAAGTGCATCCTCCGTGGCTTTGTCCAGTCCTTCTTTGAACTTGTTTCGTGCTCGCAGCTCGTCGTGCTACCTTAGTATTGAAAATCCCCAAACGATGTTCAGCAAAAATAGCTTGGCTTTGAACACAGCGGCAGTCTGAACAGCAGGACGGGGTGTCAGGTTCAGCGCTCGCTGGCCAAAACGCTCCCTTTCTCCCCAGCAGACTCTGCGTCTGCAGGCGTTTGGTGAAGCTGCTGTGCAGCAGAAGGCCCAGTGGCCAAAGCCCTTTGAGCGCGGGTGGACGTTACGGAAAAAGCGTTAGAGCCAAAGAAGCAGGCGGTCACCGTGCTGCCGCGCCAAGACGTGGCCTTCTGCCGTCTTGACCCTTGCCTTGAGAGCAGTTTGAAACCTTGAAAACAGCCGAACTGGGACTGAAAAGAAGGAAGTGTGGGTGGCAAGGACGCGACGAGCGCAGCAAAGCAGGTCCGGGTGACGAGGGGCAGGCTGGTGCAGAAGGCTGGAGCAAGCTGGGCTGGTGAACTTGCACCCGTGCAAGTGCTTGCCCCGGACTTGCTGTATTGGTGGATTTTTCCTCCTATTGCTTTGCTTGGCG